CCCCAAAACCCCAAAACCCCAAAACCCCAAAACCCCTCTCAAATTTTGTGAGATTGAATCACCTATTAATATGTCTTCTCAAATCTTATCACAATTAGACGATTATTCTCCTTTCAAAATTTCCTGGAAGACAATCTGGTCAAGTTCGAATAACTTTGACATGACTTTTTTGTTTTCTTTAGGGATGTACTTCTTAACCATCTTATAAATCTTCTGATCTGATGTCCCCTTGAGTCTTTCCTCCTTCAAGAATGTATATATCTGGTCGAATTTAGAACCGAAGACCTTTTTCAATTGAAGTTTCTTATTTCAGATCTGAATTTTAGCTGTCTCATGGATCGGGATCTCTTCTCTGAACTGAAGCTGCTCATTTAGCTTTTCCTGCTCTTTCTGGAACTCTTCAGGAATTTCGATCTCATCAAATGTAGTGTCCTTGGTAAGGAAATTCTTGTAGTTATCAACTATTGAGGTGAGTTCATTTGGATCCTTCTTGGCTTCTTCTACTGTGCTACCAGTTGTTATGCCATCTTCATCGTCTTCAAATTCATCAGACTCATAACATTCGTAGTTATAGTAATATTCTTCAGGATCATATTTTCCGGAAGATACTATTTTTCTGTCGTCGTAAGAGACTGATTTGTGCTCCATCTTGGGCATTGTCTTTGCTATTGAATCCTCTTTGGATAAACTCGAAATAAGAGTTCCATTAGTTTCGGATAATTTAAAAGTATCGAAGTCTTTATTCTTTGAGAATTGAGTGCCTTCTCTATCATTAGCTGCGAATGTATCCTCTCATCGGTCATTTGCAGCAAATGTATCTTCTCATTGATCCTTTGAAGCATATGTGGCCTCTCAACGATCATTTGCTGCAAATGTATCTTCACACTCATCTCTTTGACCAAGCGTCCCTTCTCTATCATTTGCTGCGAATGAATCTGAGAATGTAGTTCCTTTGAATTCCTCTTGCTCATCAATAATATTTTGAACCATAACTTTCTTTGGATCATTAGGTACTTTAGAAGGATATGCAGTCATGCTATGTTTGTCCTTTGCTCCTCCTATATCTCCAAAACCATTAGAGAAATTTTGACTTTTATTTCTCTGCTCTGTAGGCTCTTCTTCAAATTTGAAATCGCTGCCATAAAGATGCCTCATTTTTCTTAGTTTAGCAGTAGAATAATTTGAAATAGCCATTGCTGTATTCTCTTTCATCTTCCTCTCTTTTTCACTTACAGATTTTCTAATCATGGTCTTGGCTTCTTCATCTTCGCTTATGAGTGAAGGACTGGTGAGATCCTGTGTAGTGTTGTCATCTATTTTCTTAGATTTTACTTTTCTGACATGCAAGTTTTGATCCCCGATAGACCCTCGGTTTACAATGAATTCCTCCATTTTCTGCTTGATGTATGGAGTTAACAGAAGTTGAGAGACAAGAGGTCTTTCACTACTGTCTTTGAGCAATAGCATTTCTACGATCTTCCTCAAATCTTCTGAGTAGAGATCTGGAATTGGAGAATGCTTATCTTGAACAATTTTGTAGACTAATCCGAGTAAACTGTCTGCCGAGAAGGCATGCTGTAGGCATCAGAGCTCGTACAGAACACAACCCATAGCCCACACGTCGGATTTATATGTATATGGCTTGTTTTCTCAAACTTCTGGGCTGAGATAATATGGGGTTCCTACTCATGTTTGAGCAGCATCACTAGTATTTTCCAGCACTCTTGATATTCCAAAATCTCCAAGTTTTACAGTATTATTCCCTGTGAGGAAGATATTAGAAGCCTTAATATCTCTATGTAAGACCTTTCTACCATGGATATATTCTAATGCCATTGAAATTTGGATGAACCAGTGTAGAATTTCCTCCTCTGTGAAATTCTCATCAGCTTTATTTCTTCTTACGTATATGGTAGCTAAGGTCTCCTACGTCACAGTACTCCATAATTATGATTAAAATCCCATCCTCAATGTAGCTTCCGTTGTATTCTACGATATTAGGATGATCTAGATATCGAAGCAAGTTTACTTCCATAAGGGCATTTTGTTGTTCTTTTTCTGGCAGTTGGCCAAGAGTAATTTTCTTAGCAACATACTTATTTTTGTCAGTCCTGCTCTGAACGAGGAAGGCTGACCCGAAATTGCCTCTCCCAATTCATTTTATCTCTTTATACTCTGATTGATAGTTAGTCTTAGATTCCGTCATTTAGTAGTATTTATATTAAAATTTAATTTTAGTCATAGTTTTAGGGGTTTTGGGGTTTTGGGGTTTTGGGGTTTTGGGG